AACTCTAAGGTAGTTAAATCTACTAAATCTAAACTTTGCAGTGTGTGATCGATAAAAAATACAGACTGTTGAATGTGCTTTTAACAGAAATATTCTGTAAACTGAATTTATGAATGTTAAAAACAGCAGATTACTGGCAACCACAGCTGCTGGTATTTTTCCGTAAAATCTAAAAATGAAAAAAAAAAAAGAAAAACAGCTGAACAGTTTTTGTGTCACCATTGTGGAGGATAATAGCATCTCTGTTCAAGTCCAAGATGAACTGAGAGTATTTAATGTTATGCTGCATCTTTTTTTGTTTAAAGGTAACTGTGTAGTAACTAATGCAGTGAAAATTTGTTTGCTAATTGCAATCACACATGAACACATTATTGCATCTAAAGACTTTACATTTTTTTCTACTAAGCTATGATTTTGTAAACTGAACATTGTATTAGTTCATGAAATATTGTTATTTTTTGTAAATTAATACAGTTCTATAAAACTTCCATGTTTTTCACAGAAAGATTCTGGCTACCACAGCTGCTGGTATTTTTTTCAGAAATTTAACAGATATTTTACACAATAAGAGTTTGCTAATTAACACTTTCTTGGTGTTGACAATGTTAATATTTTCAAAAGTGTTGTTTTTAACACTTATAGTGGTTCCCATATAAACTCTGAGGGAGTGTTAATTTAAGCTCTAAGGTAGTTAAATCTACTATCTAAAATTTGCTGTGCATACATATACTATCCTGTTGAGTGCATGAGTGCATAGTGTGTCATTTGGCATGCAGCTACGATCTGAAGGAGCCCTTGGTAATTAAAGACAGATGTGTTTAATCAAGGTTGCAGGTGAGCTCTGCAGGAAGGTAGATCTCCAGGAACAGGATTGAGCACCCCTGGTATAAAGCATACATTTATACTGTTAATACAATACATTTTACACATTTGATTAAAATCATAGATAAGTTAATGAAAGGAGGAGAAAGATTTTTAACATTCATTCATCTCACATATGACAAACCAAGCCATAATTTCAGGCTTCATGATCAATGCACTGTAAAACATATACAGTTTCAAGTATATTACAGGAGTCGTGTATTAAAATTGTAAGTCCGCTATCATCATTTTGATGATAGTCTGTTGGTTTCTACAGTGGATTTGCAACACACTAAACACACTTAACATACATTACGCACAAAAATATCTATCATGAAGTCACTTCCTTGCAATACCAATGCTCTGATTGTCAAATTACCGCACCGTCCAACCAATTGGTTTAACACAGTCATCATGTGTGCAAACACTTGTTTGCTTAATTGTCAACAAAACAATCAGGTGTTTAAGCACTATAAAAAGCAGCAGGTGAGGTCATCTGCGTTCAAGCACATTGGAATGAGTCAGAGGAAGAGTAAGCAAATCAGCAAATCACATTCATCATATGCAATACAGTGTTGTCTTGGACAATGTGTCCTTCCACCACTCTGCTCTGGGAGCTATTCCATAAACCAAGCTTACAGAAAAAGCCAGGCTTATTTTGGTAAGTCAGGTTTATTAATGGCGGATTCGGTTTCATAAATCAAATTTACGATAGTTCAAACTTAGTTACCCTGGCAACTTATGCTGGGAAACTAGCCTGGTCCGGGGGCAGGCTAACTCTCAGGCTAAGTCTTAAGTTCAAGCTTGATCAAAGTAATGTTAACATTCACCTGCCATAATCTGATGCCATTTAAATCCACTTAACATCTTAATGATAATAACTTTATAGTCACTTAATAGCAAAAATAAATAAATAAATAATAATTATATATATATATATATATTTCAAATTTTGCATTGGTATAATCTTATGTATATGCACAAATATATTATTGTAAAACATCCAGTAGAAAATATTAATTTAAAAGAGAAATCTGTGAGGGGGGTTAGCTCTCTCTCTCTCGATATATATATATATATATATATATATATATATATATATATATATATATATATATATATATATATATATATATATATATATATATATATATATATATATATATATATATATATATATATATATATATATATATATATATATATATATATATATATATATATATATATATATATATATATATATATATATATATATATATATATATATATATATATATATATATATATATATATATATATATATATATATATATATATATATATATATATATATATATATATATATATATATATATATATATATATATATATATATATATATATATATATATATATATATATATATATATATATATATATATATATATATATATATATATATATATATATATATATATATATATATATATATATATATATATATATATATATATATATATATATATATATATATATATATATATATATATATATATATATATATATATATATATATATATATATATATATATATATATATATATATATATATATATATATATATATATATATATATATATATATATATATATATATATATATATATATATATATATATATATATATATATATATATATATATATATATATATATATATATATATATATATATATATATATATATATATAGATATATATATAT